ATGGTGTACGTAGCAGAGCTTTGTGCTTAGGGTCTAGCAGGGATGAAGACAACGGGTCAGCTAGGTTGGGCTTTTATCTGGACACTCTGGGAAACAATCTGCTATCAACATAATTCAAGTTGTTTGAAGAATTCAATCTTTAGCTTATTGCCGTAGGTCTGAGGTCCCCATTTCCTTGCTAGCTGGCAGCTGTAGGCCATTCTCAGCTCCTAGATGCACCTGCACTTCTCACGTGGCCACCTACATCTTCAAAGAAGCAATGGCACATTGGATCTTTCCCACACTTCAAATATCTCTGATGTCTTCTACTTTCTACTTTTAAAGTGCTCACATGGATGGGTCAAACACACCTAAATAATCTCCATATCTTAAGGTCAACTGACTTGGTATTTAATTTTACCTTCAAAATCATTTCATAACAGTATTTAGTGTACTGTTTAGTTGAATAACAAGGGGACAGGAGTCTAAAATTCTGTCTAGTATACAATTTCTTACCCTCTGCATTTTAACACTGTGATATACCTCTGACATATCCTTGAATGTCGAGTTTAGTGGCAGCTTTTCTTCCTCTGAAACATCTTTATCCCTTTTAGTTACAACCAATTTCCTTATTTATTCAATAATTTCTCCTTTACTGAGTTCCTCTGGCTGCATATCTTGGGCCTCTAGATGTTGTCAATGTCATTGTTGCCATGATCAGCCATCTTCTAACCATATTTAATAGTACTTCAGTGTTAGCACTTTTTTCTTTGCTGCACTTTCACCTTTTTATTATTTCTTAATACTTTAAAAAACAACATGTAGATTTATCACTGAGAGACAAGAAGTCAACACAACTGCACACTTTGTTGTGTATGAACTGTTTCATTATGATTCATTCCTTCTTGTCTTTTCTCAGGTTGATTAAACTGAAATTTTACCTATATGTGGAGTTTTTAATTTTATTGACATACTTTTTTCACTTTTAGAAGTTCTTTCATTTGTAAAACTGCATTATCATCATTCATTCTCTTGTTATTTGCTCACATTTAAAATTCCAACTATTAAAGATTTCATTTATAGACATCATATTCCATATCTAATAGCTCCATTTACAAGAAAAGAGTTCTAAGTCTAGAGAGAGTCAGCAGAAATAAACTGCAGAATTAGAATTCCTTTCTTGTAAATGTAAATAGAATTATTAGATGCAAAGTATGGTGGCTATAAACGAAATCTTTAAAGAAATAGATTTTTTTATTGCAAGCTTATATTTTGTGAAAATGTTGAGGTAGTCAAAAATTCTTTCACGTAGTCAAGAGATACAATGTAATTTTCAATACATCATTTAATTCTCAGATAGAAGTTTCTCTCTCTGGCAGGGTAGGATAACTATGTGAAAGCAAGTGTATGGGTATATATTTCCAAAATAAATAATGATGATGCATCATTGTTATTATTTTAATCAATTCATCTCACCTAAGGCAAAGGCAGAGTCTTTCTCACTTTCTCCTGTCTATCATCTATCTAGTTTTACTGTGTCCATCCTTTTGCCATGGACGTAATCATTATTTCAGGTCTCTTGTAAGTACAGTCTCAATTTGTGATGATCGGGACTTAATCTCCCATTCCCACCTGGTATCTAGATTTTTTTCCAGTGCAGTCTCATTTTTTGTTTTCGCTGGTTTGTTTGTATGTGTGTTAAAGAAAGAAATGGCTATTCTGTGTATTTCTTTTACTTTCTTGGGAAGATCACAATGCATTTAAGAGCATCTTTGTTGCAATTTATTCAACATACAAATATTTTACATCAGGAAGTCTTTTTCTAATATCTAGATCGTCACACACATGAAAGTGGAAGTCGGATTCAACATTTGGGGTATACATTTTATTACATACACATACATCCCTAAACAATATATAGCATTGGTTTGCCTATTATTAAGCTTCACATGAAGGGCAGTAAATTATAAGAATATATGTTTTACTAAAGATTTTATTTGTGCAGCTCTGGTTAATTTCTTTTCCCTTCTGTGTAGTGACTATATATATTTTTAGTGCATATTCATTGCTTTCTATTTTGACCTATTATCTATAATACCACAAGAAGTGGAAATATTGGGGTATTGGATATGCTTACCTTCAACTTCAATAGATATTTCTAAATTGCTTTCCAATACATTTTTACCAATTTACGGCCATCAGCAATGCTCCATATGGCTTTCAGATCTCATTATTTTTTAATTTTAATCATATTGAATAAATTGGTATTTCAGTTGTTTTTAGTTTGCATTTCTCTTAACCTAAGTGAACTTTGCATATCCTTTTTGGTCATTTGGATTTCTTCTTTTAATAATGAGCTATTGTTTTACTGTGTACATTAGCCGATTGCATAATTATTTTGTTAATAATCTTTTATCAGCTATAAGTACTGCAAAACTACTAGCACAATGAGTTATTGGTTTGTTTCTAGCATGATTTTATCAGAAGGTTTTATTATGGTCCAATACTTCAGTCTTTTCTCTATATTTGGTGCTTTTATCAAATAAAAATTTCCCTTACAATTATAAATATATTCTCCCATATATATCTAGAAAGTTTTGATGTTTTACTTTTCCACATTAAACCTTTAACCTGCACAGGAATTCATGTTGTGTCTGTAGTACATTTCTATTATTTATTTATGGATAACAAATTCCAGAATAATATATTGGTAATACAGTGACTGTAATACCAACTTAGTCATATATCAGGATGACAAAAATGTGTGTGTTTCCATCTGATTCTGAACTCTATTCAACTGTTTGTTCCTGATCCCAAACTATAATATATATTTACATTTGTCAAAAAGATCTTATCTATTCTTACACCTGGCCTTTCATATAAATCTTATTAATGGCTTTGCCAAGTTCCATGAACATGTCTATTTGTATTTTAATCAAGATTGCTTTTAATTCACTTATTTAGAGCAATATTATACTTTCTATCCATGAACATCCTCTCTCCATTTATTTGGGATTTTTTCCAACATATTAGAAGAAAACTTTATGATTTTTTTCCAAAAAAATCTAAAGCCTTTCCTGTTGTATTATTTCATAGGACCATTATAATTTTTTGCATTACATTCTAAATTTAGCTTTTTAAATGTTAGTATTATTTTGGATATTGATCTTATATCCAGCAACTTTACTATATTCTCATTCTTACAACAGTATGTTTGTACATTCCTTAGAATTATCCATAAGACATCATCTGAGAACAACGAGAATTTTGTTCCTTCCATTCCTGCGTTTAAAGAAAATGCTTTCAAGTAGTATTTAGCACAGTAATTGTTGTAAATTTTTGTTATATATCCTTTTTCAGTGTATGGAAGTTCTTTAGCCTTTGTATTCATATCGCTAATACCATTACTTTTAGGCAATGATTGGTATTATTACATTTTATCAAGTTATTTTTTGATATCTATTAAAATTTTCTTGAATAGTAATACGATGACTTTCTGAATTGAAATCTTACTGTCCTATGATTAACCCAATGTTTACTTTTGGTACCTTAAAGGAGCTGATTTGCTAACATCATTTTTATTTTTTAATTTAGATATTTGGCTTATATGGTCGTTTGCTGTATTGTCTGTAAAATTGTCTGGTGTTTTAATGTGTGTAACGGGGTAGAGATAGAATGGATTCTTTTAAGTTATAGATGTATCCATTTTTAAAGTATTAACAATTTGAGTTACTTTTGATGAGTTGTATTTTAAGACTTCCTTTTTATCTATTTTCCAATTCAATGAATTAAAGTCGTTCATAAGTCTCATGTTCTTTGTATTCTAACTGTAGTTTTGTTTTTAAATTAGTTCTTTGATTTATAAAAATATTCTATTGCTTCAATAAAGACCACTGGCCTAGGAGTCATAACACCAGCATTTTACTTTTGCTTCTATCTCTTGTGGATTTTTGTCTTAAACTGTGGACAAGTCGCTGCTGTTCAATGTATTTTCTCATCTCTAAAACCAATTTACCATTTCCTTTTTAGCTCACATATTTCCAATGAAGCTCAAATAATATGATTTGAAATGCTTTCATAAATGGAAAAAAACAAAAACAAAACCCAAGGGATTTATAGGTCTATCTGAAAAATCTTGTTGAACAAGCACATCACTTGTAATATTTTCCCCTAAAGTGACATCACAGGCATCTTTTGGAACATAAATGAGAATCAAAGAGCTTGTAACCCCTTCACTGCAGAGTGAAACTTCCATGTCTGATGTTATCTCTAACTGACTTGAATACTGGCAATTTGTTAACCAGAATTATTTTAAACACTAACATGAATGTTTAATAAATTTGCTTTTAGCACATATATTCTCACTTCATAAAACATTTTTTAAAAAACTGTGAGATACTTTAAAACACTTCACAAAGGTCTTAATATAGAAGGCAATGTTACTAATTTCTGCTTGACATTCAGGATAATTATGTATGACTTTTAGGGGAAGTGCTCAAACTCCAGATTAGGGATTGGAAGACATACAAAACCTCAGAAGTATTGTTAAAAACAAAATGAAAGACTTAAAAGTATTGGGGTAAATTTTTTCTAAAGTATTAAGAAAGAAATTATCTTTAGAAAGGCAGAATCATTTTCTGCCATGTATCATTTGCTTTTTCAGAGCAAGGATATTAGCTTAAAATTATGGTAAAATGTATATATTAAGATACACTGAGTTCCATTCAAAATAGATTATCCTTTACCATGGGCTTTTCGTAATAGAACTGGAATCATTTGTTCACTCATTCGGAAAAGGCAGCATTGTACATAGTTTGGTTCTTTCACTGGATGCTGCATAACCCTAAATTTGCAGGACTAGATTGAAAAAGAAGGCTAGGCAGAGTCTATCTATTTTGATAAAACTGCCACTTAGGAGAAAGTATTAAGGCTCAACAGTAATTTAACATTTTTTTACTATGTCAATGCCTATGCCTGAAAAACATATGCAAGTTTAAAAGATGAACAGAGTCCAGATAAAGTCATTTTTTAAAATTTTGTTTATTGTTATTGTTTACCATTGGGGAGATGCAGTTTATTTACACCAGCAGCCATAGGGGCAAGGGGAATACACAGTTAGTCAGCTATCTGTATAGAATGGACTACTTATGCAAAAATAAGAATCTCCAAAACAAAGGACAGTGGTGAGCTTCACTACCCTCCCCCAATGATCCCAGCATGCGATAATGCTAGGCAGTGGTCCCTGGGCATGCGGTGGTAGAAACTAATGTATGGAAGAAAAAGCCACAAACCACAGAAATTTTAAAGAACCCCTTTCCCCCATAACACACACACACTCAGATACATAATAGGATTACAGGGTGATCAATACACTTAATCAAGGAGAGGACAGGAATTCTGTTGTTAGAGGGAAGGTAGGTAGGGAAAAGGAGAGTTCCTAACCACTGTCAACTACATGGTAGGGAGTATCTCTCCTCCAAAAAAAGTTTGTTTCCTCAGGGTACCTGTCAGACCAAGCCCACCTTATACCCATCCAGGGCAGGGGCTATTGCCCTTTTGGTAGAAAGAGGGTGGAAAATAAAGCCAAAAAGAAGGTACTGTGAACCATTACTCAAAACTACTTCCCATTTCTTTCTCCTCTGGTCTGAAGAAAAGGCCAGAAAGAAAACAGTAATAATACGGTCTGAGACCTGAGTTCTCTATCAGAAGCAAGAGTGATTGGACCATGGCCTTTCTCCCTTACCTTCATCCTGCTTCCAAGACACTGTTTTGAAATAAGCTAGTCTCATTTAGACCCTCCTTTCCCTCTGTATCCTCTTAGGAAATGGGAAATGTCTAACAAAAAGGGCAAAAATAAAATTATTTTAGCTCCTGCCAAACTTTGATTTTTCAAAAGTTATCACGATTCTTGGATTAATCTGTAACCAGGCCCCAATTCTGATCAAGACTCTGTGGGAAGAAAGTAGTAATAATCTCAAAGACCAATCTCTATTTCTTTAACCCTCTCAAGTATTTAACCTAAAACAGTCCACAGTCCATAGTCTCTTCTGGGATAAGGAAGGATACATGCACAATAAGGGTTAGAGAATGGGGAAGAACCAACTCCATCCCTGTGTGTGTCCATCAGCCTTTACTGCTCTTCTGCTTAGGTCCTAAGAGGCAGTATCCAGCAAAGGTGGGAAGATAGTTGTTCTCATGAAGTAAGACACACCAGGAGAGCATAGTAGCAAGGCAGTCCTATTTAAGAGAAATGCTAAGGCATGACACTACCTTTTAAATACAAAAAATTAAGTTTTCTTCCAATTCCAACCCCAACAGAGAAAGCTGTAAGATTTTCCTCTGAATCTTCCACAAAAACAGAAAAAACAAAAACAAAAATCTTAAAGGAGGTCAAGGGAAAGGAACCTGGGCAGGTTTCAGAAGCAGTAGCATTAAAAGAGATGAATTGAAACTGGTAAATGTGAAAGCTGGAGTGGCAAGCAGCACCTGGGGTCATGAGCCGCACCAGATAGGCAGTGGAGCAAGGGACAGGAGGAACATGGAGCCAAGCCAGACACATGAGGCTAGAACCCTTATTGGAGCACAGAATGAGGTAAGAAAACATTTCAAATAAAGCAGCACCGGTTCTTGCTCATCTTGGGGCTCCCACTCCTTTACACTTCATAAACCTTGCTCAAGGAGTAAAGTGGAGGGTAGTTTTGATATGTGGCTCTTACTTCCCATCCTTCCCTATCCCATTCCCTGAAGCCAAGGAATTCTGGAGGTCTTTCCCTGACTTCCAACAATAAAAAGACAGCTCTTGTTGTCAAAAAGATCTGGGGGACTGAGTGGAAAGGACTGCCCCTTATGAGGAGCAGAGAAGGCGGTGACAGTTTGGATACTCACTATAGCCAAGTTCTAACTGCCCAACCAAAGGAACATGGGCATTCAACAAGACTCTAAACACAGTCAGATGAGAGATGACACAGTTCTGCTCCTTGGCTCCTAGCACTAACTCATTCACATTATCGAGGACAGCTGGAAGAGGCCTCCTCTGGGCTCAGTTTTTAAGCCACAGCCACCTGCACAGCCATAATGTTCTTCTATAGTTCAGTCCTGCCCTGGAGTGGGAGGCAGGTAGTAACCTGGCATAATGGCCAAGTCACACCCACAGACTGGCTAGGTAACCAGTAACTCAGAGTAAGTAATGAATGCCCTACCAAACACATGTCCACAGCATAATACATCCAGATATGAATCTTGCAGTTAGAGAGATCGTGCATAGTTGCAGAGGTCCCTGCTATCTCCCTAGGGGATCATAACTTAATCCTCAGCCTGTCTGGGACAACTAAGACGTCCATTTGCCAAGCCTATGCCACCAGGCAAGAAAGAAAGAGGGCTCTGCTAAGCCAAAGGCTAGGCCTTGTCCCCAAGTCGGTTGAAATCATTGTAAATGCAGGACCTTTGGGAAACAGGCGATTTCGATGTTTCTTCTTGTCGAAGTCAAGGCCACAGACAGAACACTCCTATCAAATTTGATTGGGAATTTTTATTCTTGGTTTTCCCAAACTGAAATTGTTAGTATCCAGATCGCACACCTTTAATTCAGAGAAACTCAAATCAAAGGCTCACAGATCAGAGGAGCAGTCCCATTGAAGGCCACTGATTATGGCCTGACCAACAGTAATGTCCATACTGTCCAGGAGGCCCTTGATATCAGGCAGACAAAAGGCTGAGGAAACCCAAAGGATTTTATATGCTGGGCAAACAACTGCTCACCTGTGCACTGGGGGGTACTACAGGATCTTGTGCACATCCTGGTGTTTTAGAGATCAATATGCAGACTGTGTGGCTCCTCCAGCCCAGGGTTTCAGATCTGACCCCAGGAAATACACTTAAAAAAAGGATCTGAATTCCTAAATTCTCCACCACTTTGGGTTTTAAAATGCTAGGATCGTCAAGGGGAATTAGGACTTTTGTCTTTTTTTTTTTTTTTTTTACGCTTACTCTTCCAAGCCACAGGACCAGTCTATGTTATTGTCTTGGTCACTCTCAGACTCTCTCATGTTGCAGCTACTGGAATTCAGGAGGTGAGCGCTGCAGCTCCTGGGCAGGCCCATTCCCAGGTTCTCCAGGAAGGGAGCAAAGCGGGAGGCGACACGCTCCTTTGTCTTCCACTGGCTGAATGCCAAAATCCTTCACGCTACCAGTCTCCGCGAACTCCAGGTAGAAGTAGCCACACTTGACTGCCCGGTGAACCTCAAAGCAGAATCCCAAACAGGAATCCTCTATCAGATCTACGTATATCTCCTGCGCGATGGCCTCTAGCTTGTTAGTATCCAGGTTAGCCAACGAAATTTCCTCCATTTTAATCTGTAAGTGATCGTGGAGGGCGCTCCTTTTACTCACGGCAGCAACACGTCCGGCTCCGCGGGCCGCGCCTAGGCCTGGAGGCCTCTCAGGGCCGCCTTCTCTGGCGGTGGGGACGGTGACTTCCGCGGTGGCACAGGCAGCAGCAGCGGCGGCGGCGACTGCTTGGAAATCGCAAGTCCTTCGGTTTGTTTTGGCGTCTCCCGGGTTCTGGTGCTGTGACCTGCGCCTAGCACAAGACTCACCGCCAAACCGTCTCGTCGCCTCACCCAGCCGCCCGGGCCTCTTCCGCTCGCTGGTCGGGCCTCGCCCCGCCTCCCCGCTTCCGCTCCTCAGCGCGCTTGCGCACTGCTCCGCGCAGACTCGCAGGGCTTCGTCAGTGCAGCTGCCTAAAGTGCGTTTGAATTTATGAAAACGAATGGGATGAACTAAACTGTCATCTCACGTTCATTACCTCTGATTATGAAAGATTGCAAGGATGGTCTGTTATGTTATTTTATTTGTGGATTTAAACATTCGCTGATGAATTCGGCAACCATGCTTAATTAGTGTCCTCTGAAAAAAGTTAAAAATAATAATTACGTGCACTGTTGTGGTATGATCCGAAATATCATTTTAGGAACAGTTCTCTGGATACGTTTGAAATTTTGACTTACGCGATTGACTTGTGATCGTTTATAGTACTGCCGCAGTTGTCATTTAAATCCACTAGATGGTGCAAGGAAACAAATTACAGTTTATCTTTCAGTCTATTTTTGAATGAAAAAACTAGAATCTAGGCACTAAAGGCATAATTCATATATATTGATAAAATAAACCTAAGGTATTTATCTCATTTATAAGGTCACTAAATTAGTGTGACTGAAGAGGGATGATAATATGCATCTCTAAAAGAGTTCAAAGAGAAAATTATGTATATGTTCTGTTTTGAAGAGGGAGAAAATTGGAAATATGTTAAATATACTGAGAGATAATGAAAGGTTTTTCTAAAGTTATGTGCATGAATTGTGAAAATGGGAGCCATCCTATCTGGATTTAAATCCTGGAGCTAATCCTTACTTCGTGGTTAAGATTAAACTAGAGTTTAAAAAAACACCTTGTGGCAATGCCTTACAATAAGCAATGGTTCAGTGTGTCAGCTATTTTTAATCATATTAGTTATGAGATTGAGTATGGGAAAAATCACTGTAGTTTTTCTTTTGTATTTTACTCATTTTTTGGTCCCCACCACCAGAATAGAGCAATAGCTGTTATCTTTATAACTTATCAATAAATAGCTCTAAATAAATAAAGAAAAAAATGTTAAAGTGTTTATTGGCGTCAGTCTGATTCTATACTTTGTATTTCAGATTAATTGAGAGACATGTATCTTTCCAAACAGATGCGAATGAACATTTTCTAATGTATGTGATCTTCAGAACACCTAAATAGTTTTAGAATTGATTGTTGATATCTCATTCTATATTTTCCTGAGTAGAGGATTAAGTTAAACCTATTTGATTTGTGAGTAGCTGGACTTGTATCCATCCAAATTTTTCTGATTTCATATTTTATCATTTTAAAAACCACAAACTAGCAAATATGGAGCCTTTTAAAAGCCTAGACTATTTAAGATTCATGTTCTATAATACTTCTTTTAAATCTAGGGCAGAATGTTTTTTTTTTTCTCCATTATAGTCTTTATATAATTTATATGTTCTCCATTCAAAAATTGGGATCATTTTAATATAAGTTGAAATTTGCACATATCCTTATGCTAGGTAATAATATATAATAATTAAGTACATAAGTTCTTCAGTCAGACTGCCTCCTACCAGTTATTGTCTGTGTGAACTTGGCCTATCTACTTTGGTAAATCCCAATTTTTTCATTATAAAATGTCAATAATGGTTCCTATCACATAGGTTTGTTGTGAGATATAAACAAGACAATAGATAGAAGAGTCTTCACATAGTGCCTGACAAATACAGTAGCATATAAAATCGTATTGTATTCCTAGTACTGTGACATGTCTAGTTAGGTGAGAAAATGGAAATATAAATGCAATGGTTTCCACTTTCTCTCCCATGCCTTTTCCAAATTTAATTTAAAGCAATGCTTCTCAAACCATGCATATGAATTACTCAGCAATACTTTTAAAATTAGTTTATGATTTTGTAGGTCTGGGGTGGGACCTGGTTTTGAATTTCTGACATACTTTGGTGTGTGCTAGTGACCACACTTTAAATAGCAAGGAATTAAAAGGGCCTGACAGTGCTTTGTTCATGCCAAATTATCATGAGAGTTTTTGCATAATTGATTTTGATAGAAGAATATAAGAGATTGCCTCTTAAATCTCCTTGTATTGTGAAGGTTGGAGCCAAGATTCTCAATTTATGTAATTAAGAGGCATCTTCAATAAAATTTGCTTCAAAATATGTACAGATAGAACCTCATGTTAATTGAAATTCAAATACAGTGTCATGGCTCAGTTTAAAATTCCTGTCAGTATTTTATGACATTTATTCTTAGAAAAGTAACACTATCATGACATCAAAATTTTCATTGTGCATTTCATTGTTACCTTGTCACCTCTCTTGTACTTGTGTCACTTAACTAGATTGCCTTACTTCATATTGAAATATAAGAAACTATGTTAAAACAATAATATACAACATAAGAAAAGTTAGGAAAAGCTCCCTAGTTTTCTTGAAATCAATAGAGTTGATAGTATTATTTAAGCCTTCGGTATAAAAATAAAATTAAAAAATAGAAATTTTTCATTATTTAAATCATTTTCTCAATACAAAGCAAGTAACGTGGATTAGTTCTTCATAAATGAATGGTCTTCTAAATTATGGCTTTAAATATTTAGTGCAAAAATTAAGGCAAGTAAAAGGATGTATTGTGAAATTTTAAGTGTCTTTAATTATTCTCTTCCATTCAATAATTGTAATATATGCATTGAGAGAATCAGATCTTTCAAAGAGAAGCATGTATTAAATTGTTATTTAAAGGGTTTTATTAAAGATTAAAAATCAATAAAATATGAATTTTTCAGAGTCACACTATTTTGTGACTATTTTATGAAGCCCAAGTATTGAGTCCTAAATTGGGTGTCTAAGGGTTTCTTATCACATACTAATCTGCTTTGCTCCCTACTGAGTATTGAAGCATCCATGCATTTTAGGGTAAGACAATTGTTCAGCTATGAATACTAGCTGTATGTTGTAATTAGCTGTCCTAATAGCCAATGATGTTGCTTGTGAGAGGTCATTCTTACTTAAAAATTTTAATTTATCTAGGGATTTTGACTCTTATGAATTCCATTTTTATTTATATAAGTCATTAAAACTTTATATTTTTTATTTTTACTTACCCAGGTATTTTAAGATAAATGAATAGTAAATCAGAGAGAGGAGGAACATTTTGCCATGTTATCTTCTGTTATAAACAGTGCTTTCATCAGACTATGATTTATCTCAGAAATAAGCTATAGCATCTTATGCCTTTCATCAATAATTTGATAAAAAAAAATATGTGTATCATAACTCTGTAAATACTGACATGTCCTCCCAGCCATGGCTAGCTAGCTTGAAGTTTCAAATTCATCCTCTGCTGAAACCCATTTTTTAGGATTTGCATTTAAAAATGGATTATTATGGCTTGAATTAAATTCAGAGGTGCCAAAATTTGATATTAAATTAGGGTGTCATGCTAAAATTGCAATGTCTAAAATAAATTTATGATTTCAATCTGCCCTTCTAAACTGTGAAATCAAGACAATTTATTGAATTTTGGTATTTATGACAACTGTGGATTATAATCTACCAAAAGGAAAGACAGAGTAATGCTAAACTGCCTATAGTTAGGAAGTAGAATAGCATACTAATCTAAAATAACAATTTTTACAGTTTGTATAATAAAATACTTTTAAAAGATGACCTTATCAATATATTAATTATCCAGAACCACTTTGATCTACAAAAGAGTTTTAAAAGATCTCTGTAATAATTTCCACATATTTATATGAACAACAGTACATTTTCTCCTTGACTTATGATGGGTTTATTTCCCAATAAACCTATCATAAATTGAAAATATCATAAATTAAAAATGCATTAATACACATAACCTACTAAATATCATAACTTAGTCTAGCTAGCCAGCTTAAACATGTTCAGAATAATTACATTAGACTTCAGATAGGCAAAATCATCCAACTCAAAGTTTATTTTATAATAAAGTGTTGAATAGCTCATGTATTTTATTGAATAACCTTCTGAATGTGAAAAAGAGCATGGTTGTATGGGTATTCAAAGTACTGTTTCTATTGAATGCTTATCACTTTCCCACTACCATAAACTGGAAAAATCATTAAGTTGAACCATCATAAGTTGGGGACCATTTGTTTTTTAAAAAAGATATTTTTGAAGGATTTATGATACTGCTCATGAAAGTTATAAGCTAGTTCTTAAACAAAAATAGAATAATTATTCAAGGTTTTTCCTATGTCGAAAGTCTACATGGAAATATATTTGTTTATCTTTTATGTGGTTATAGGATGGGCCCAGAAATATGTAAATTTGAGTACTGTAGGTAATTTATGATTAAGCAATATTAATGTGGTAACAATTAACAGAGACTTCTAAAACACTTATCTTAAAGGAATTTCAAATTTATAGAAAAATTGCAACAATATTATGAATAATTTCTGTACATCTACATTGCACTCATATAATCTCATTAATATTTTGCCAATTTTTCTTATCCCTTTCTATTCTCCCCCCAAAGTTTCCTCCTTATCATAAACAAATTTGAACTACTATTTTTCCTGATCTATTTGATAGTAAGTTGCAGACCTAATGCTGTACTACACCTAAATATATCAGTGTGCATATGCCTTAAGAATAAGGCATTCTCTTAAATCGCCACAATACAATTATTACATTTGGGAATTTGACTAGTTTAGGTATTGAATAATACTATCTCTAATACAGAATCCATATTCGGATGCTGGCAATTGTCCTAAGAATGTCTTTTATATCATTTTTTTCCTGGATGCAATCCAGGCTCATATATTATATTTACTTCTGATGTCTACCCAGTCTCCTTTAATCTGTAACAGTTCAATAGTACAGAAATTTCAAAAATAAAATAACAATATACACAGATAAAAGACATTGGATTTCAATCTAATATGAGCATAAAAGATATTTTAAAGATAATATTTTAAAGATACTCATAATATTTTAAAGATACTCAATCTCCCTAATTAAAGCCTAGGATAAAAATTTATCTTATTAGATTGGATGTTGTAGCAATGTTGCTTAAAAACAAAGATGATTCTGAGGAAA